GCATAACTAGTCTTCAACAGTTGGATGAAGGCACTTCATGTCACTTGCCATGCGTCACGAAGACGCCTTACAAAGACAAAGATGAGCTTTTCTAGTGTCTCTATGAGTGTTGTCTCTCTGCTCTATCATTTTTAGTGTGCATGTTCTCGGATCAACAAAGTGTGCTCTTGTCCCAGACCGCGTGCGGAGGCGAGGAGGAGCGCTAGTAGAGAGAGAGAGAGCGGCGCGAGAGAGCAGAGCGAGACGAGAGCAGGCCGAGAGAGCAGAGAGAGAGAGACGCAGCGAGGGAAAGCATGAGCACGAGAAGACGAGAGAAAAGGAGTGCAAGCAGAGAAGAAAAGAGAGAAAGGCGCAGAGCCGCAGCAGAGCGAGACGGAAGAGGAGAAAGAGAGAACTAGAGAGAGACAAGGAGCGCGGCAGCGCTAGAGAGATCATAGAGACGCAATAGAGAGTATCTCTCGCCTCGTCGCTCATCATCTCTCTCTGCTGCTCTCTCTCTCTCTCTCTCTCTCTCTTCTCTCTCTCTCTCTCCCTTTCTACACACCTGCTGTCTCGACCTCTGAATGCTCGGCTATGAAAAGCCAACTGACATTTACTCCTGTGGTGCTGACCTGTTGCACCCTCTACAACCACTGTGATTATTATTTGACCCTGCTGGTTATCAGTGAACGTTTTAACATCTTGAACAACGATCTGACCTTAATGGCCATGTACTCTTATAATCTCCACCGGCACAGCCAGAAGAGGACTGGCCACACCTAAGAGCCTGGTTCCCCTCTAGGTTTCTTCCTAGGTTCCTGCCTTTCTAGGGAGTTTTTCCTAGCCACCGTGCTTCTACATCTGCATTGCTTGCTGTTTGGGGTTTTAGGCAGGGTTTCTCTATAAGCTCTTTGTGACATCTGCTGATGTAAAAAGGATTTTATAAATACATTTTATTATAGTCCTTAATATAAAATGATGTCAGTGACAGGTCTGTAGGTTTGGAAAAACAGGATTATGGAAAGGACAGATACTGTACATATTGTTGTACTGGCTGAGGCAAATGTATTTTACATTTGTTAAATACAATTCATTAATTAATTCATAGGAGGGTGTGATGCTGGGTGCAGTTGGGGCGTATGAGTGGAACGGGACAGTGGTGATGCACACAGACCAGGGTACCATGGTTCCCATAAACGCAGACTTCCAAGACCCACGGGACGAGAGGAAGGAGAGCCTGGCGGGGTATGTGGGTAAGTACAAACGACACACACACGCACACACATCCTGGTGGGGTACGTGGGTAAAGTCCAGACCAGACCAGACAAACCACCCTCATGGATTACATTGTATTTATTTACCTTTTAAACCTTTATTTAACCATACATGGCTGTTTATGATGTTGAATTCCTGCCCTGTCCTCTGTTACTGTAGTTATCTATGTGTAAGTCTAGACCTACTGTTTTACATGAACCACTCCACACATGGAGTTCACTCAAGGGAAAAATAAAGTAACGTAGAAAAAACAATTATTTGAATTGAAGACAGTTAAGAAGAACAGCTTCTTATTTAGATTACAGTACAATGACAACCTGTACTGACACTTTGGAAACTGGACAGTGGGCCAAGTCCTTAATGCCTTCCAGCTCCTGTATAAACAGCACAGGGTTTATAAGTAATGCCCCATTACTGTACAATAGACAGAAACATGGTCTATGTCCCAAATGGCACCCTATTCCCTATATAGTGCACTACTTTTGACCAGGGCCCATAGGGCTCTAGTCAAGAATAGTGCACTATATAGGGAATAGGGTGCCATTTGGGAGGCAGTTATGCTTATACTCTAACTGAAATAACAGACCCACAGGGCTTACAGTAGCCTACATCTCCCCTCATACTACCTTTTATGGGCTGTAGGGAAGACGCTGTGCGGGATTAAACAATAATGTTATTTAATAAAAGTGTCATGGAGAACAATCTGGGTGGCTGTTAGTTTCAGACCAGACAAACTCAAACACTGAGTATGTCTGAAATATGAGCAGATGAACCACACACACACACATACACACACACTGCACACACACTCCTCTCTGTTCTCCAATGTTTTACTGCTTCCTCTTAACAATGAGACTAAACTAAACTAATGCCAGGAGACAGATGTACTCAAATAAACCACTAATAGAGACACACTGTGTCCTTATGCTGTGGTCATGAACTGCTCTAGTGTGTGTGTGTGTGTGTGTGTGTGTGTGTGTGTGTGTGTGTGTGTGGTGTGTGGGTGTGTGTGTGTGGTGTGTGTGTGTGTGTGTGTGTGTGTGTGTGTGTGTGTGTGTGTGTGTGTGTGTGTGTGTGTGTGTGTGTGTGGTGTTGTGTGTGTGTGTGTGTGTGTGTGTGTGCGGGTATGTGTTTGTATCTGCCCACCCTGCAGGTTATGATGTGCAGTCGGCATCAACCCCTAACGGTGTATTATATATTACGGGAGCACCGCGGTACAACCACACAGGCAGAGTCATTGTGTACAAACTGGATGGGAAACACATCACAGTCACACAAGTACTGAAAGGAGAGCAGGTGACCAATCATCAATCATCATTCATCAATCTTCCACCACCATCATCATAATACATTACAAGCAACATCTTTACGTTATGTAGTTGCTTTGTCAAACTCATTGGGTTGTGTGGTTAGACACAGCGGGTGTGGGAAGAGACTATGCATTCTGTAACCAATGCAGCACAAAATTGTTAACGACATAATTTGTGTACATTCGATAGAAATGAGATACTGCAAAGTGAGCAGAAAATAAAGTACTCTAATTTATGGAATTCAGAAGAGTTCGCTTATGTCAAGGCATTAGATCTTTCTACTTAAGTTTGAGCATGGAATTCAGAAGAGGTTAAGTTAAGGTTATATTAAAGCATGTATTACGATTTACGGTTGAGTGGTTATAATGTAGTTTGACCCATAGAATATATAATCCAGTATTAGAGGTTCAAAGCCCGTTCTATGGATTCTATTTCAAAGTTTTGACCTCTGTCTGTCTCCTGTAGATTGGCTCCTACTTTGGCAGCGTGCTCCAGACAGTGGATGTTGACCAAGACTCGTACACAGACATCCTGCTGGTGGGAGCTCCTATGTACATGGGCCCAGAGAAGGAGGAGCAGGGACAGGTGTACGTTTACAAACTCAATGAGGTATGTGGTATACTGTTTGTGTCTTTGACCTGTCATAGTAAATTTAGTTAAAATAATATAATGAATTAGGTTAATAAGTGAATGTAACTATCTAGTTGGAGATCACACTTCAGGGTATGTATGTTACAATATGAAGTCTCATTAGAAAAGCTAACATTGGATTGGAACAAGGGTCTGATGATGCTCAATAAACATCTCTCTCTCCCTTCCTTCTTTCGTTCTCTCTCTCCATCCCCCTACACCTCCAGAAGGGCATGTTTGAGCACCAGACCACGCTGAAGCCAGACAACCAGATTTGTTGTACCTCGGCCCACTCCCACGGCTGCACCAACGTTAGTAAGAATGACCCGTGTGGCGCCCGTTTCGGCACCGCCATCGCAGAGGTCAGCGACCTGGACCTGGACGGGAACCGGGACGTGGCCATCGGGGCACCGTTCGAGAACGACCACAGAGGAGCCGTCTACATCTACCACGGAGCCAAGAAGACTATCAAGGAGAAATACGTCCAGGTAAAGAAAGAAAAGACCATTTGGGGTGCTCTCCATCTCCCATCCGCTTACGGATAGAGAGAGGAGAGAGAGAGAGAGCGCGAGACGAGCGACGAGGTCGCGAGAGGAGAGAGCGCCAAGCGCGAGCCCCAGACAGGCGAACAGGTAACGCCGTTCGCACCCCGCTCAGAGCCGAGAAAAACCAAGAGACAAACCGAAGAGCAATAACTAAAAACCCCCAAAACTCATCTCTCCAGAACCCCCCACTCTCTCCCACTCGCTCTCCCCCCTCCCTCTCCCCTCTCTCCTCTCAATCAATTCAATTTAAGGGCTTTATTGGCATGGGAAACGTATGTTAACATTGCCAAAGCAAGTGAAGTAGATAGTAAACAAAAGTGAAATAAACAAAAAATATTAACAGTAAACATTACACTCAGAAGTTCCAAAAGAATAAAGACATTTCAAATGTCATATTATGTACAGTGGGGAGAACAAGTATTTGATACACTGCAGATTTTGCAGGTTTTCCTACTTACGAAGCATGTAGAGGTCTGTAATTTTTATCATAGGTACACTTCAACTGTGAGAGACGGAATCTAAAACAAAAATCCAGAAAATCACATTGTATGATTTTTAAGTAATTAATTTACATTTTATTGCATGACATAAGTATTTGATACATCAGAAAAGCAGAACTTAATATTTGGTACAGAAACCTTTGTTTGCAATTACAGAGATCATACGTTTCCTGTAGGTCTTGACCAGGTTTGCACACACTGCAGCAGGGATTTTGGCCCACTCCTCCATACAGACCTTCTCCAGATCCTTCAGGTTTCGGGGCTGTCGCTGGGCAATACGGACTTTCAGCTCCCTCCAAAGATTTTCTATTGGGTTCAGGTCTGGAGACTGGCTAGGCCACTCCAGGACCTTGAGATGCTTCTTACGGAGCCACTCCTTAGTTGCCCTGGCTGTGTGTTTCGGGTCGTTGTCATGCTGGAAGACCCAGCCACGACCAATCTTCAATGCTCTTACTGAGGGAAGGAGGTTGTTGGCCAAGATCTCGCGATACATGGCCCCTTCCATCCTCCCCTCAATACGGTGCAGTCGTCCTGTCCCCTTTGCAGAAAAGCATCCCCAAAGAATGATTTTTCCACCTCCATGCTTCACGGTTGAGATGGTGTTCTTGGGGTTGTACTCATCCTTCTTCTTCCTCCAAACACGGCGAGTGGAGTTTAGACCAAAAAGCTCTATTTTTGTCTCATCAGACCACATGACCTTCTCCCATTCCTCCTCTGGATCATCCAGATGGTCATTGGCAAACTTCAGACGGGCCTGGACGTGCGCTGGCTTGAGCAGGGGGACCTTGCGTGCGCTGCAGGATTTTAATCCATGACGGCGTAGTGTGTTACTAATGGTTTTCTTTGAGACTGTGGTCCCAGCTCTCTTCAGGTCATTGACCAGGTCCTGCCGTGTAGTTCTGGGCTGATCCCTCACCTTCCTCATGATCATTGATGCCCCACGAGGTGAGATCTTGCATAGAGCCCCAGACCGAGGGTGATTGACTGTCATCTTGAACTTCTTCCATTTTCAAATAATTGCGCCAACAGTTGTTGCCTTCTCACCAAGCTGCTTGCCTATTGTCCTGTAGCCCATCCCAGCCTTGTGCAGGTCTACAATTTTAACCCTGATGTCCTTACACAGCGCTCTGGTCTTGGCCATTGTGGAGAGGTTGGAGTCTGTTTGATTGAGTGTGTGGACAGGTGTCTTTTATACAGGTAACGAGTTCAAACAGGTGCAGTTAATACAGGTAATGAGTGGAGAAGAGGAGGGCTTCTTAAAGAAAAACTAACAGGTCTGTGAGAGCCGGAATTTTTACTGGTTGGTAGGTGATCAAATACTTATGTCATGCAATAAAATGCAAATTAATTACTTAAAAATCATACAATGTGTTTTTCTGGATTTTTGTTTTAGATTCCGTCTCTCACAGTTGAAGTGTACCTATGATAAAAAATTACAGACCTCTACATGCTTTGTAAGTAGGAAAACCTGCAAAATCGGCAGTGTATCAAATACTTGTTCTCCCCACTGTATATATACAGTGTTGTAACAATGTGCAAATAGTTAAAGTACAAATGGGAAAATAAATAAACATAAATATGGGTTGTATTTACAATGGTGTTTGTTCTTCACTGGTTGCCCTTTTCTTGTGGCAACAGGTCACAAATCTTGCAGCTGTGATGGCACACTGTGGTTTTTCACCCAGTAGATAAGGGAGTTTATCAAAATTGGATTTGTTTTCGAATTCTTTGTGGATCGCTGTAATCTGAGAGAAATATGTGTCTCTAATATGGTCATACATTTGGCAGGAGGTTAGGAAGTGCAGCTCAGTTTCTACCTCATTTTGTGGGCAGTGTGCACATAGCCTGTCTTCTCTTGAGAGCCAGGTCTGCCTACGGCGGCCTTTCTCAATAGCTAGGCTATGCTCACTGAGTCTGTACATAGTCAAAGCTTTCCTTAAGTTTGGGTCAGTCACAGTGGTCAGGTATTCTGCCACTGTGTACTCTCTGTTTAGGGCCAAATAGCATTCTAGTTTGCTCTGTTTTTTTGTTTGTTCTTTCCAATGTGTCAAGTAATTCTCTTTTTGTTTTCTCATGATTTGGTTGGGTCTAATTGTGTTGTTGTTGTTGTTGTTGTCCTGGGGCTCTGTGGGTCTGTTTGTGTTTGTGAACAGAGCCCCAGGACCAGCTTACTTATGGGACTCTTCTCCAAGTTCATCTCTCTGTAGGTGATGGCTTTGTTATGGAAGGTTTGGGAATCACTTCCTTTTAAGTTGTTATAGAATTTAACGGCTCTTTTCTGGATTTTGATAATTAGCGGGTATTGGCCTAATTCTGCTCTGCATGCATTATTTGGTGTTTTACGTTGTACACAGAGGATGTTTTTGCAGAATTCTGCATGCAGAGTCTCAATTTGGTGCCCATAAAGGGCAATGGGTTCTATAACTGAGCCCGGATAGAGAGAAGAGAGGAGAGAGGGGGCTATAGGAGCTCTAGCTCTATTAGATATCTATCTTGCTTCTCTCTCTCTCTCTCTCTCTCTCTCTCTCTCTCTCTCTCTCTCTCTCTCTCTCTCTCTCTCTCCTGTTCTCATCTGTGGAGGCTGATGTCACTTTAAATCAAAGGATGGGCTCATTCTAATGGCTGGAATGGAATGAATGAAACACATGTAAACCATATCCTCCGATTTCTCCCTCCACCAGCCTCCACTGGTCCTCATCTGTAATCAATGTGTGGGATAGTGGTTTGTGTATAGACAATGTGCAGTAGATATGCAGTTACAGTAGGAGTAGATACCGTAGAAGTATTCCTGTTAGCCTTCTGAATGTGTGTGTGCTGGTGTGGTTTCAGCGTATCCCAGGTCCTGGAGACGGGGTGAAGACTAAGTTCTTTGGCCAGTCAATCCATGGAGTCATGGACCTGAACGGAGATGGAATCATAGACGTTACCATCGGAGGGCTGGGAGGTGCTTCTCTGTTCTGGTGAGTGTTCAGTGCTTCAGCGTTTAGAGTCAAACATAAAGTCACGCCTTGCGGTCATGGACAGTATGCGCATGCAAGCAGGAACACACACACACTCCCTCTAGCACTCCACTTCGACTATTAGTAATAGCAGTAACCTCAAATATCATCTCACATAATCAAAGACTGTCACTCTGGTTTACACAGCTGTGTCCCTCTCGGGATTTGAACCAACAACACCCTCTTCTCTATGTTCAAACCCCCTGGCCATCCTCTCCTCATAGTGCTCATGGAGCTGAACCCTCTACACACCACAGTGTGTGCTGGAATGGGCCTAGCTGACCGGGGCCAACCAGGGCTGTGTGAAAATCTCCAACTCCCAGAAGGCAAAGCTTTTAAAACATGATTTGTCAGCTCTTCCTCCTGGGCTTTTGGACCTCTGCTTAACAGAGAGTGGCTGTAGAGAGTTGGAGAGTCACTCCCTAATTCCAGAGCGTCCATGGCAGTGGACCTAACAGTTTGATACTGCAGCTGTAGAACTCAGTTACGCCATGGAAACCAGTGACCTCCGCCATTATGGATTCCTTTGTAGAGCTGCCATGGCCGGCGATGTGGTTTAGACCACGGTCGCAAACATCCTTACATGAAGGCATGAATAATGTGGTTCAAATGGGATGTTCTATTTGGGAGTTACTCAAAAAGAATTAAAGCAGTATACCTTTTGGCTTCTGCTGTTTTCCTTTTTTGGAAACTTGTATTTATTAAGTTTCATTCACAGGTCATTCACTTTGGTAACAGTTCCATGTGCCAGTTCCATGTGATAATGCCGTGTTCAAAACAACTGGGAACTGGGAAATCTCCGACTTCCGACTTCAGTGCGTTCAAAACAACTGGGAAGAATTTGCACTGACTGGGAAAAATCTATTTGAATGGTCATCGAACTCGGAATTCCAACTCGGGCCTCTTTCTAGAGCTCCGACTTTCCGACCTGAAGATCACTGACGTCATTATTTGTACTCGTATTTTTCCTCGAGTTCCCAGTTGTTTTGAACGCTGCATAAATTTGGTGTTTGTCATCCAGGTCCAAGGATGTTGCTGAGCTTTATGCCAACATGACCTTTGAACCGAGCAAGATCAACCTACAGCAGCCCACTAAAGGCTGTGTGTTGGGTGCGAGGGAAACCGTGTGTGTGAAGACCAGGGTCTGCTTTAGCTACAGCGTCAAGTCTGAGAAGGATGACACTATCTTGGGCACAGGTGAGAGTCTGATCAACCCCTTTCCTTTCATACAGTATGTTTACATGTTTACAGTGTAAACCTACTTCAATAATATGCAACGATTAAAGCTGACTCTCGATAAGAACAGTAAAAAGGAGTAAAATATAAAGCTGTGGGTCTTTCATTTTGAGGTTGCTGTAGCTATATCATGACTAGGGTTGGAAAATTCCGGTAACTTTCCCAAAATTCCCAGGTTTTCCAGAAATCCCGGTTCAAAATTGTCATCAATCAGGAGGGAATAAGCAGGAAATTCCGGAATCCTCCAACCAGGATTTATAGAAAAACTAGGCATTTTGGGAAAGCTACTGGAATTTTGCAACCCTAATCATGATTGGTGTGTGTTGTGTTTCAGCCATTAAGTACAACCTGACACTGGACTCTCTGAGGGCGAAGTCGAGGGCTGCGTTTGTCAACTCAGACGAGAAGAGTGAGAGGAAGGTCCAGGCCACCGCCAAGATCATTGACTCTCTGTGTGTGGAGCATTTATTCGCCATGAAGGCAAGTAAATCCTTCCTCACCCAGCCTGGTCAACATGGAGAGAAAGAGAGGCAGACGGGAGAGAGCGAGAGAGAGAGAGAGTATCTCAGCCATTAGTATCTCAGTAGACCTCCTCAACAGACTGGCTAGTGGATGTAGTGGATGGATGTACAGTATGGAGCCAAGTTGCTCTGGTATTTATTCATTGTAGGACAGCCTGGCCTCAAAGACGTAACATAGTAAATGTAAATCTGTGATAGGCCTATGTTATACTCTTAGAAAAAAGGGTTCCAAAAGAGTTATTCGGCTGTCCCCATAGGAGAACCCTTTTTGTTTCCAGGTAGAACCCTTTTTGGTTCCAGGTCAGTTAGAACCCTTTTGGGTTCCATGTAGAACCCTCTGTAGAAAGGGTTCTAAATGGAACCCAAAAAGAATCCTCTGTAGAAAGGGTTCTACATGGAACCCAAAAGGGTTCTACCTGCAACCAAAAAGGGTTCTTCAAAGGCTTCTCCTATGGGGACAGCCGAAGAACCCTTTAAGGTTCTAGATAGCACCTTTTTTTCTAAGAGTGTACGTTTGGTATGGTTACATAAGACGGAATGTTACTTAAGTCAAAAGCGAAAGGATGGAGGTTGGTCGGGGAGGATGGATGTGTGGGCGTATAATGCGAAAGTCAAGCAAACCAAAGGTTACGTGTTCGAATCACATCACAGACAACTTTAGTATTTTAGCTAATTAGCAACTTTGCAAATACTTAGCATGTTAGCTAACCCTTCCCCTAACCCCTAACCCTAACTCCTAACCTTAATCCCTAACCTTAACCTTAACCTTAACTCCAAACCCTAATCCCTAGCCTAGCTAATGTTAGCCACCAAGCTAACGTTAACCACAACAAAGTGGAATTCGTAACATATCATATGTATTGCAAATTCATAACATATTGTAGAAATTTCAATTCGTAACATATCATACGAATTGTAATTTGTAACATATCATACGAAATGGAGAGAGACAGATTTACATTTACTATGTTACGTCTATCCCTGAGTCCAGGTTGTGTAGGAATGCTCTTAACATGAAAGTGGAGAAAGATCTCCCTCCCTTGATCAAAGGGAAAGCGTTTTCAGGAAAACAACCACTTTTACAAAAAGCCCATTACTGTACATACGCACATTTTAGCTTAAAAGTGGCCTAGAAATCGATTCACATTGCATTGATTGTTAATTCTTCTATTGGTTATTTTGTAGCAGAGAGTTGTACATTATAAGGTTTTAGTAAGGAGGCCAGATGAAAAGTAGAGAGCTTTTAAAGAACAGAAGACCTTGACTGTAATGGGAACCAGAACCAGAGCTTTACTGATCAAAGCAGGGTGAAGAGAATGCCCCGACAATGACTGTTAAACTACCTCCAGTACCTCTGAGAAAGGGAGCGAGAAATGGGAGCGAGAGAGAGGGTGCGAGAGGGGAGGTGAAGAGAGGAGAGAGAGATGGGGAGAGGAGGGGATGGAGGGGAGAGAGAGATGAAGAGAGGGGTAGAGGGAGAGAGGGCGAGATAGATAAGCAAAATAAAGTGAAAGAGGGAGGGAGAGAGATAGGAGAAAGAAAGAGAGAGTGGATGAGATAGAGAGGGAGATAGGCATGTTAGAGAGAGAGGGGTAGAGGCATGTTTGAGAGAGTTAGAGAGAGAGGGGTAGAGGCGTGTTTGAGAGAGTTAGAGAGAGAGGGGTAGAAGCATGTTTGAGAGAGAGAGAGAGGGGTAGAGGCATGTTTGAGAGAGTTAGATAGAGAGGGGTATATAGGACTGTGAGGGTGTTAGAGAGAGAGGGGTAGAGGCATGTGAGAGAGAGAGAGGAGAGTTTGAAAGAGAGACAAAAGAAAGAAAAGAGAGAGAGAGAAGAAGAGAGGGAAAAAGGGAGAGCTGGTGGATGGTTGGAGAGTGCGGTCAAAGTGCATTCCAGTGGAGATATTCGCTAGTGTTCTGTTCCGCAATGCAGCCAGATAGATCTCACGCTGTCCATTCCAACTGGAACATAGCTGTATTCTCCACTCTGATAAAGACTGACACACATAACCCACATTGCCCTCCGAGGGGGAGATATAATAGACATGTAGCCCACATAATCCACAGGGACTACTGATAACAGTAAGGGTTATACTGTACATGCAGTGAATAAGATCTAAGGCATACAGTAGTTTACAGTACTTTAGATTACATATTCTGACATATTCTTTAAGAAAGCTGATTCAAATACAATACATCCAGACAGTGACCAAAAGCAAACACAGTAGGTACATTCAGTGGCGTCATGCCCATAGGGGGCACAAAGGCACATGCCCCCTCAGATTTTTAAAAAACATGTTCAGATATTAGATTAATTACTAAACTTCATTTTTAAGCCCACGTTTTATCATATATATTGTCAGCGGTACTTTGCGGAGGGGGCACTGGTACTGTATATATATAAATATATGTGTACCAGTCAAAAGTTTGGACACACTTTTTATTTATTTAGTTTTTACATTGTATAATAATAGTGAAGACATCAAAACTATGAAATAACACGTTTGGAATCATGTAGTAACCAAAAAAGTGTTAAACAAATCAAAATATATTTTATATTTGAGATTCTTCAAAGTAGCCACCCTTTGCCTTGATGACATCTTTGCACATTCTTGGCATTCTCTCAACCAGCTTCATGAGGTAGTCACCTGGAATGTATTTCAATTAACAGGTGTGCCTTGTTAAAAGTTAATTTGTGGAATATCTTTCCTTCTTAATGCGTTTGAGCCAATCAGTTGTGTTGTGACAGGGGGGGGGGGGGGGGGGGGGGGGGTATACAGAAGATAGCCCTATTTGGTAAAAGACCTAGTCCATATCATGGCAAGAACAGGTCAAAAAAGCAAAGAGAAACAACAGTCCCTCACCCGCATCAAAGTTGCCCATCCCTGCTCTAGTGCATGCAGTATCTTCAGTGGAGGACGAGAGAGAGTGTAGAGTGACACACACAGCGTTTGATTTTATTTTAGCAGCAGGTGAAGGGCAGGAGGTATGTTTGTAAATTAATTTGATCAAGATATGTAGCCTATTGATTCCTTCTTGATGAATATTTTATTTTATTTTATATATATATATATATATATATATATATATATATATATATATATATATTGTTGTTCCTCTGTAATACTAGCCACCTAGCAATTTTATGAAGTTGGCTTTAGCTAGCCAGCTAGATAGGTTCCCAATCTCCCAACCCATAACTAGCTACCAAACCATTTCAGGCTATCGATCAAGTTAGATTAGCTTGTCTAACTATCTTAGCTGACATGCCTGCTGGCAAGGTTTCTAGACTTTAGAAATAAGAGGTATGCTTAGATAACCTATGCCGAGAAATAGCGGCCGATAGCTTAGTGGTTAAGAGCGTTGTGCCAGTAACCGAAAGGTCGCTGGTTCTAATCCCCGAGCCGACTAGGTGAAAAATCCCCTAATTGCTCCTGTAAGTCGCTCTGGATAAGAGCATCTGCTAAATGACAAAAATGTAAATAGACATATTTTTTACATAGAATTAGACATAATGATTATGGCTCTAGATTACAGGAAAAACTGTTTCAGATGTTTGAAAAATTCCATATTATCCCAGATTCTCCAACCACCCCTCTTTCATCCTCACATACATCGCACCCCCTCTAAAATAAATGGTGAATGACGCCCCTGGATACATTGTACATTACATTATCCCCTCCTCCCTTCAGGCTAAATTGGACTTCAGAGACCCCATCATGGTCTCCCTAGAGTTTGGCCTGGCTGAGGACACAGGTCCCGTCCTGGATGGAGACTTACCAACGTCACTTAACAAAACGGTAAGATGAACCACACTGCGCCAGATTTAACACACAAACACACACACACACACACACACCAGTAACTTTTGGCTTGCCATGAATTTTGTGTACCTTGGCTTGCTTCCCTCTTTAGCCCCTAGAGGCCCTCATTGGCTAACAATATGTGTGCACACATTGATTTCTTACCTTACTGTTTTGTTTAGACCTCAGCTATCACATATTGCAACGGTGAATATGCAATATGTGAGCAGAGAAGTCAGTAATCAGTACTTTACACTGTCATGCAGTCATACTCTCCACAGCAACAGCTGTCCTCCATCCTTCACTAGTTCATAGTAGGCTTATTAGCTTTAAAACACTGACAGGCAGTTATCCTGTTTCCATAATGGAGCTCCCACACACACATAGTTCTTATGAGCTATTTGCCAGACGGACAGAGAGCCAAAACATGTGGCTGGATAATAACGCAGTGGTAGAACAGGGATTCCTTGAAGCCTCAAATTCCTCAACACAAAACAGGGTGTGATTACATCCAAGTTACATGTCTGTTTAGTAAAGTTAGCACATGTTCACTGGTTCTCAGGCCTGAGTTCTCATGCTATCAACAAACCACACCTCTCTCAGTATAACCAGAGAGGAAGTGCCGAAGTGAGAGGGTACACTCCCGTCAACATCTGTCCACACAGGAATACAGTGATAAGCAGACCGATAAGCAGACCGATAAGCAAACCACCTGCCTTCCCGTCTTTGGGACGACTCCCATTGTTTGGGCGGAGACAAGACCATCTCGTCATTATATAAAACAGGAGGTTGTTGGCACATTAATTAGGGAGGACGGGCTCGTGGTAATGGCTGGAGCGAAAGGAGTGGAATGGTATCAATTACGTCAAACATGGTTTCCATGGTGATGCCATTCCATTCGCTCCTTTCCAACCATCATTATGAGCCGTCCTCCCCTCAGCAGCCTCCACTGTTATATAGTATCTCTGGTACAACATACTACTCAGGGTCATGGAGGACGTTCTTCTGTTACACTAGAGAAGTGGTCCTGCTACTGTAGAGTGGAGGGCAGAGATGTTGGAACAAATACACGAGTGCACACACACACACACACACACATACTGTAGTTATCACACGAAAGCGCTACGTTTTCCCTGAGACATTGTATGGCATCCCAGATCGTCATTCTTGGGAGAAGACACTGTTGATCTTGTCACCATTCCAATGCCACTGGGAACCAATGGGATCTCATGTCCCAAATGTTAGGAATGCATTTAACTATTTCAGTCTGTCTTGTACATGGTTTACAGTTGAAGTTGGAAGTTTACATACACTTAGGTTGGAGTCATTAAAACTCGTTTTTCAACCACTCCACAAATTTCTTGTTAACAAACTATAGTTTTGGCAAGTCGGTTAGGACATCTACTTTGTGCATGACACAACTAATTTTTCCAACAATTGTTTACAGACAGATTATTTCACTTATAATTCACTGTATCACAATTCCAGTGGGTCAGAAGTTTACATACACTAAGTTGACTGTGCCTTTAAAGAGCTTGGAAAATTCCAGAAAATGATGTCATGGCTTTAGAAGCTTCTGATAGGTTAATTGACATCATTTGAGTCAATTGGAGGTGTACCTGTGGATGTATTTCAAGGCCTACCTTTAAACTCAGTGCCTCTTTGCTTGACATCATGGGAAAATCAAAAGAAATCAGCCAAGACCTCAGAAAAAAATGGTAGATCTCCACAAGTCTGGTTCATCCTTGGGAGCAATTTCCAAACGCCTGAAGGTACCACCTTAATCTGTACAAACAATAGTATGCAAGTATAAACACCATGGGACCACGCAGCCTTCATACCGCTCAGGAAGGAGACGCGTTCTGTCTCCTAGAGATGAACGTACTTTGGTGCGAAAAGTGCAAATCAATCCCAGAACAACAGCAAAGGACCTTGTGAAGATGCTGGAGGAAACAGGTACAAAAGTATCTATATCCACAGTAAAACGAGTCCTATATCGACATTCCCTGAAAGGCCGCTCAGCAAGGAAGAAGCCACTGCTCCAAAACCACCATAAAAAAGTCAGACTACGGTTTGCAACTGCACATGGGGACAAAGATTGTACTTTTTGGAGAAATGTCCTCTGGTCTGATGAAAAAAAATTAGAACTGTTTGGCCATAATGACCATCGTTATGTTTGGAGGAAAAAGAGGGATGCTTGCAAGCCGAAAAACACCATGCCAACCGTGAAGCACGGGGGTGGCAGCATCATGCTGTGGGGGTGCTTTGCTGTAGGAGGGACTGGTGCACTTCACAAAATAGATGGCAACATGAGGAAGAAAAATTCTGTGGATATATTGAAGCAACATCTCAAGACATCAGTCAGGAAGTTAAAGCTTGGTCGCAAATGGGTCTTCCAGATGGACAATGACCCCAATCATACTTCCAAAGTTGTGGCAAAATGGCTTAAGTACAACAAAGTCAAGGTATTGGAGTGGCCATCACAAAGCCCTGACCTCAATCCTATAGAACATTTGTGGGCAGAACTGAAAAAGCGTGTGCGAGCAAGGAGGCCTACAAACCTGACTCAGTTACACCAGCTCTGTCAGGGGGAATGGGCCAAAATTCACCCAACTTATTGTGGGAAGCTTGTGGAAGGCTACCCAAAACGTTTGACCCAAGTTGAAACAATGTAAAGGCAATGCTACCAAATACTCATTGAGTGTATGTCAACTTCTGACCCACTGGGAATGTGATGAAAGAAATAAAAGCTTAAATAAATCATTCTCTCTATTATTATTCTGACATTTCACATTCTTAAAATAAAGTGGTGATCCTAACTGACCTAAGACAGGACATTTTTACTAGGATTAATTGTCAGGAATTGTGAGAAACTGAGTTTAAATGTATTTGGCTAAGGTGTATGTAATCTTCCGACTTCCACTGTATATTTCTTGTAACCATGCACATGTCATTTAGATTCCTTTGGTGGACTGTGGGAGCGATGACAAGTGCATAGCTGACCTATCGCTGAAGGCTGTGCCAAGTATACAAAGGTATTACCACAATGATTCCATTCCTTCAATCCATCAAACTGTCAACAGTTATGTCGCAGTTCAGTAGCATGTTGCCCTTGTATTGTACTTTGGCGCCCCCTTGTGTTACTTTGGTTGAAATGCCAACATTACATTTACCCTGCTACAGTAGTAACTTTCCTATTCTTTGCAGTCTTGTGATCAAAGCGAACAAGGAGAAGTTCCACGTTCTGATCACCACTAGAAACAGCAAAGACAACGCTTACAACACCAAAGTTATGCTGAGCTTTATTGAAAACATCAACTACGTCAAGGTCGAGGTGAGGTTGCTCTCTGTCTTTATACCAGTTGTGTGGCTTCATATCAACTTCTACTATCTTGAACATCAGAATGTCATAATTTCTGTCAGTATGTGTTTTGACATTGACATCTCTCCATTTACTCCGCAGCCCAAAGAAAAAGACTGCAGTCTAAATAATACCAAAGTTGAGTGTGCTGTGGGATATCCATTCCTCAAAAGCAATGTAGAGGTAAGACGTTTCTTTATTATTATTTATATTTTTATATATTTTTATTTATTTATACATTTTTTAGGGGGAAGATCAGCTTTAATATTGCAGATAGATTGTAGCTTCCATCAATGTAATTGTCTGCATCATTTTCAATCCCCCATATATTTATTTGTCAATACATACAATACCAGTCAAAAGTTTGGACACACCTACTCATTCGAGGGTTTGTCTTTATTTTTACTATTTTCTACATTGTAGAATAATAGTGAAGACATCAAAACTATGAAGGGGGAGCAAAGCAAATAGTCTGGGTAGCCATTTGATTAGATGTTCAGGAGTCTTATGGCTTGGGGGTAAAAGCTGTTTAGAAGCCTCTTGGACCTAGACTTGGCGCTCCGGTACTGCTTGCCGTGCGGTAGCAGAGAGAAGTCTATGACTAGGGTGGCTGGAGTCATTAATTGCACTATAACGGTGGCAAACGGTGCCCACAAACTGTTAGGGCCTACATAAAGCTGTCCCAACAGCAGAGTCCCAACAGCAGTCACAACACCTTACCACTGCTACACCTGGCTATCAGCGGAGCCTTGTCTGGCAGCGAAACAGTTCATTCAGCCTCATTTACTGCCTTTTAAAAAAACATAGCTGATATGGCTGACTTGCTTAAACAAATGTGGTTTCTACTGACAATTGAGATGTACAAACTATGGCATAAGGGGACGACAAGCGGATTAGAGGCAATCCGTAATTTCGATTAAGACATTAATGAGCGAGCTACAACGGACGTAGTCAATATAACTATTTGTTAAGCACTTTTGAAATGTACAGTGACAGAATTCAGAACATGGGCCGTTCTTACAGTGTTCTCCCTGTACACCAAGTCAGAACCGTAGGATAAATAAAGGGGGCATATAAGCAAACAATGAAAGCTCTTACAGTAGTCGATGATTACATTTCTCTAAAACAGGTAATAGGTTGTGTGTACCACCAAGTCAGAACAGTAAGTGAAATTAAGAGGGGAAAATACAGTTGTGGTCAAAGGTTTTGTGAATGACACAAATTTAAATTTTCACAAAGTCTGCTGCCTCAGTTTTTATGATGGCAATTTGCATATACTCCAGAATGTTATGAAGAGTGATCAGATGAATTGCAATTAATTGCAAAGTCCCTCTTTGCCATGAAAATGAACTTAATCCCCCCAAAAAATGTCCACTGCATTTCAGCCCTGCCACAAAATAACCAGCTGCCATCATGTCAGTGATTCTCTCGTTAACACAGGTGAGAGTGTTGACGAGGACAAGGCTGGAGATCACTCTGTCATGCTGATTGAGTTAGAATAACAGACTGGAAGCTTTAAAAGGAGGGTGGTGCTTGAAATCATTGTTCTTCCTCTGTTAACCATGGTTACCTGCAAGGAAACACGTGCCGTCATCATTGCTTTGCACAAAAAGGGCTTCACAGGCAAGGATATTGCTGCTAGTAAGATTGCACCTAAATCAACCATTTATCGGATCATCAAGAACTTCAAGGAGAGATGTTCAATTGTTGTGAAGAAGGCTTCAGGGTGCCCAAGAAAGTCCAGCAAGAGCCAGGACCGTCTCCTAAAGTTGATTCAGCTGCGGGATCGGGGCACCACCAGTGCAGAGCTTGCTCAGGAATGGCAGCAGGCAGGTGTGAGTGCATCTGCACGCACAGTGAGGCAAAGACTTTTGGAGGATGGCCTGGTGTCAAGAAGGGCAGCGAGGAAGCCACTTCTCTCCAGGAATAACATCAGGGACAGACTGATATTCTGCAAAAGGTACAGGGATTGGACTGCTGAGGACTGGGGTAAAGTAATTTTCTCTGATGAATCCCCTTTCCGATTGTTTGGGGCATCCGGAAAAAAGCTTGTCCGGAGAAGACAAGGTGAGCGCTACCATCAGTCCTGTGTCATGCCAACAGTAAAGCATCCTGAGACCATTCATGTGTGGGGTTGCTTCTCAGCCAAGGGAGTGGGCTCACTCACAATTTTGCCTAAGAACACAGCCATGAATAAAGAATGGTACCAACACATCCTCAGAGAGCAACTTCTCCCAACCATCCAAGAACAGTTTGGTGACGAACAATGCCTTTTCCAGCATGATGGAGCACCTTGCCATAAGGCAAAAGTAAGTGGCTCGTTTTGGGTCCATGGCCAGGAAACTCCCCAGACCTTAATCCCATTGAGAACTTGTGGTCAATCCTCAAGAGGTGGATGGACAAACAAAAACCCACAAATTCTGACAAACTCCAAGCATTGATTATGCAAGAATGGGCTGCCATCAGTCAGGATGTGGCCCAGAAGTTAATTGACAGCATGCCATGGTGGATTGCAGAGGTCTTGAAAAAGAAGGGTCAACACTGCAAATATTGACTCTTTGCATAAACTAAATGTTATTGTCAATAAAAGCCTTTGACACTTATGGTATGCTTGTAATTATACTTCAGTATACCATAGTAACATCTGACAAAAATATCTAAAAACACTGAAGCAGCAAACTTTGTGAAGACCAATAATTGTGTCATTCTCAAAACTTTTGACCACGACTGTAGACCAAATTATTAGGGTGAGGCATGTGGGCTACTAACAGCTTACTACACAACATACATTTAGTATTACTTTCTTAGCTACAGTATACATATCTCCCTGGCATTTTACATAATTTATGCAGCAACATACAATACATTTCTGGACTCACATTTACATTTACATTTACATCATTTAGCAGACGCTCTTATCCAGAGCGACTTACAAATTGGTGCATTCACCTTATAGCCAGTGGGATAACCACTTTACAAAGTTTTTTTTGGGGGGGTGGAGTGGGGTAAGGGGGGTGTAGAAGGATTACTTTATCCTATCCCAGGTATTCCTTAAATAGGTGGGGTTTCAAATGTCTCCGGAAGGTGGTGAGTGACACCGCTGTCCTGGCGTCGTGAGGGAGTTTGTTCCACCATTGGGGTGCCAGAGCAGCGAACAGTTTTGACTGGGCTGAGCGGGAACTGTGCTTCCACAGAGGAAAGGGAGCCAGCAGGCCAGAGGTGGATGAACGCAATGCCCTCGTTTGGGTGTAGGGACTGATCAGAGCCTGAAGGTACGGAGGTGCCGTTCCCCTCACAGCTCCGTAGGCAAGCACCATGGTCTTGTAGCAGATGCGAGCTTCAACTGGAAGCCAGTGGAGTGTGCGGAGGAGCGGGGTGACGTGAGAGAACTTGGAAAGGTTGAACACCAGACGGGCTGCAGCATTATGGATGAGTTGTAGGGGTTTAATGGCACAGGCAGGGAGCCCAGCCAACAGCGAGTTGCAGTAATCCAGACGGGAGATGACAAGTGCCTGGATTAGGACCTGTGCCGCTTCCTGTGTAAGGCAGGGTCGTACTCTCCGAATGTTGTAGAGCATGAACCTACAGGATCGGGTCACCGCCTTGATGTTAGCGGAGAACGACAGGGTGTTGTCCAGGGTCACGCCAAGGCTCTTCGCACTCTGGGAGGAGGACACAACGGAGTTGTCAACCGTGATGGCAAGATCATGGAACGGGCAGACCTTCCCCGGGAGGAAGAGCAGCTCCGTCTTGCCAAGGTTCAGCTTGAGGTGGTGATCCGTCATCCATACTGATATGTCTGCCAGACATGCAGAGATGCGATTCGCCACCTGGTTATCAGAAGGGGGAAAGGAGAAGATTAGTTGTGTGTCGTCTGCATAGCAATGAAAGGAGAGGCCATGTGAGGATATGACAGATGTATAGCGAGAATAGGAGAGGGCCTAGAACTGAGCCCTGGGGGACACCAGTGGTGAGAGCACGTGGTGCGGAGACAGCTTCTCGCCACGCCACTTGGTAGGAGCGACCGGTCAGGTAGATCCAAGAGTGAGTCGCGCCGGAGATGCCCAGCTCGGAGAAGGTGGAGAGGAGGATCTGATGGTTCACAGTATCAAAGGCAGCAGACAGGTCTAGAAGGACAAGAGCAGAGGAGAGAGAGTTAACTTTAGCAGTGCGGAGAGCCTCCGTGACACAGAGAAGAGCAGTCTCAGTTGAATGACCAGTCTTGAAACCTGACTGGTTTGGATCAAGAAGGTAATTCTGAGAGAGATAGCAAGAGAGATGGCTAAAGACGGCACGCTCAAGAGTTTTGGAGAGAAAAGAAAGAAGGGATACTGGTCTGTAGTTGTTGACATCAGAGGGATCGAGTGTTGGTTTTTTGAGAAGGGGTGCAACTCTCGCTCTCTTGAAGACGGAAGTGACATAGCCAGCGGTAAAGGATGAGTTGATCAGCGAGGTGAGGTAAGGGAGAAAGTCACCGGAGATGGTCTGGAGAAGAGAGGAGGGGATAGGGTCAAGCGGGCAGGTTGTTGGGCGGCCGGCCGTCACAAGTCGCAAGATTTTATCTGGAGAGAGAGGGGAGAAAGAAGTCAAAGCATAGGGTAGGGCAGTGTGAGCAGGACCAGCAGTGTCATTTGACTTAACAAACGAGGATCGGATGTCGTCAACCTTATTTTCAAAATGGTTGACGAAGTCATCCACAGAGAGGGAGGAGGGGGGAGGGGGAGGAGGATTCAGCAGGGAGGAGAAGGTGGCAAAGAGCTTCCTAGGGTTAGAGGCAGATGCTTGGAATTTAGAGTGGTAGAAAGTGGCCTTAGCAGCAGAAACAGATGAAGAAAATGTAGAGAGGAGGGAGTGAAAAGATGCCACGTCCGCAGGGAGTCTAGTTTTCCTCCATTTCCGCTCGGCTGCCCGGAGCCCTGTTCTGTGACTCACCTTGTTATGCTGTGCTCAGTTGAACAGGAAGGTGGCGAGACGGTTCTTCGTGGACAAGTTTTATCATCAAAGAAAGAGAAAGAGGCGGGATTTACAATTCAGAGTTAGATGACCGTTGAAAACGTATTTTCCCAGTCAGAGCTCGTTTGTTCCCAACTTCCCAGTTGCAATGCTTGCAGTTAGTCACTGTCACCTTTTTCCCCCCAAACCACTCATTGTTGAATTTGCGATTTCCAACTTGTTGTGTAATGTTTATGTCCAATGGCCGATGAGCACCGATACATTTTATCTATATATCTCTTCATTATTTCTCTTCATATGACAAGGATTAAAAAGGATTTGCCAGTAGATTGTCGACTTGATTCATGATGATGACTGCTAGCTAAGATTTTTTAAGTAAGATGTTGACATGATCAGTCCAATCAAAGCTACTGTGTATATAACGTGATTTGACGTAATACTATTTTTGGCCAATGACCTTGAGCCTTCTTGGAAGGGCACTTCTAATGTAACTCTATGGCAGCACCCAAAGGGCTTGAATTTTCGAAGTCTACCTTAGACATGGCGGTGATGTAGTGTCCCCATGAGTGACAGAACACTGAGCCAATCACGGCGCAACGCTCCTGCATTTTGGAGCTGCCTTTTTCAAGAAAACTAAAAAGAGACCATATTTGTATGCGGCTTTATTTACATTGTTTGCAAACTGATATGTGACACGTATTAATGCCAAAATAACTTGCAAAACAGGCAAGCCCAAAAAAGAGAAATATTTGCAAAAAATGTGTCTCTGCCCCAGCTATCCTGAATGATGGGTCGCCACTGCTTGCTGGCTGCTTTTCCTTCACTCTGCGATCCGACTCATTCCAAACCATCTCAATTGAGTTGAGGTCAGGTGATATTTGAGGCCAGGTCATCTGATGCAGCACTCCATCACTCCTTCTTGGTCAAATAGCCCTTACACAGCCTGAAGGTGTGTTTTGGGTAATTGTCCTGTTGAAAAACAAATGATAGTCCCACTAAGCTCAAACCAGATGGGATGGCGTATCGCTGCAGAATGCTATGGTAGCCATGCTGGTTAAGTGCACCTTGAATTCTAAATAAATCACTGACAGTGTCACCAGTAAAGCACCATCACATCTCCTCCTCCATGCTTTACGGTGGGAACTACACATGCAGAGATCATCCGTTCACCCACACCGCGTCTCACAAAGACACGGCGATTGGAACCAAAAATCTCAAATTTGGACTCCAGACCAAAGGAAGAATTTCCACCGGTCTAATGTCCATTGCTCGTGTTTCTTGGCCCAAGCAGGTCTCTTCTTATTATTGGTGTCCTTTAGTAGTGGTTTCTTTGCAGCAATTCGACCATGAAGGCCTGATTCACACAGTCCCCTCTGAACATATATAAGATGATTCTTGCAATAATACATATCTATCCTCATACCATTAGACTCACTATGGACTTCAGGCCACTCATGTGTCTGCTTGTTCTCTCTCTGCAGGAGGTGTTTAAGATCCTGTTTGAAGTCAACCCTGCATATGTCTGGAAGGAAATTCAGATCAACGTAACTGCAACCAGGTACAGTAAGCCATGGTGTCACACTAAATCTAAACAACATAAAATAAATGATTGATCAAAGAAGAAGTATTGAAATGTCAAAATTCTAATGCAATGGCTTTTCCCCTTACTACAGTGACAGTGAGGAAGTGAACGCCACCCTCCATGACAACACTGTGAGAATCTCCATCCCTGTAAAGTATGAGCCTGGACTTAGATTCACAGCGTGAGTACAGACAGCAGTTGCAACACATACAGTACATTCTTATTTTCACAGATTTAAAAAAAAAGAAAGTTCGACCATTTTCCATATCTTTCCATCTCCTTTCTCATCCCTCCATCTCTCAGTGACAGGCACATGAAGGAGGACCACATCATAGTGAAAGAGGGAGAGCAGTACCCTAGCGTCTTCAACCACACCAGTGTGATAGGAGAAGTGGTCAAGATAAGCTACACGGTAAGACATACATACATACAGTATCATCCCAGTCATACTCTAGTGATGCCTGGTTAGTCGGAACGCCCTGAGTCTGGTGAGATATGGGCAAGTGGTGTGCCCAAAAGTAAGATATCCCTTACAAATATGTACCATGGTACTACTATGGTATGTTCACTTATTACCTTGGTATTGCATCATGTATACCATGGTATAGATCTGAATCATGGAAATGTACCATAATTTTAGCTTTTAAGTAAGATGGTACTGCCATGCACCTAAATAATACCATGGTATTGCCTCATTTTACCATGGTATAGATGTGGATTCTTGGAAATACCATGGTTCATACTATAGTGAGACCTGGTTAGTCAGAGCGCCCTGAGTCTGGTGAGAGACCTGGTTAGATATGGCCAAGTGGTGTGACCAAAAATAAGACAAGTATTCTGAGTTGCCTCAGCTTTGAAGAGGTTAACATGTGATTCAATTGTGAGTGAAAGACCTGTGACTTACTGATTCTCTCTGACTAGGGTTTAATATTTTTCCAGAGAATCTACCCCCAAAAAATCCTGAGAAAATTGCATGAAATTACCAGGCATCCCGGTATTCCTGTTCAAACCAGAAGTGGTATTTAAAAGCATAGCCTATAATACTAGCGGGAAAAAATGACATGATTATACCACTGTAAATGGAGAAATATACACATGAATCTAACTTTTTCTTTTTGTACTTTTTGCAATTGAATCAACTCAAAGTTCTCTCAAATTTACCACACTATTTTGTTGATGTAGTCTAGTTATAGGCTAGTTCATAGCCTAGGCCTATGAAGTGCCGTTGACGGACTGGTCAAATATTATGAGGTCTTGTGAAAATTACATTAGTTTTAGCCTACCTTTGACTGAACGATGTCAGGCAGCTTGTTGACCCTTTTCTCTCCCCTTGCACCTGGCTATCGGGGGAATTTGGGAATGTTATGGATGTTTTTACCTCATGATAATCCGATTGAGATTAGACAATGATTCCGAATGTTTAATAGTCACATGTACAGGGTTGCAGGTGTGATTGCAGGGTACAGTGAAAGTCTTAGGCTTCGAGCTCCAACATGCAGGACTAAGTGAAATAAAATAAAGAAAATGGTCATAAAAAACAACAGTAGAAATAGAAATAGCACTATTTACAGTGGGGAGAACAAGTATTTGATACACTGCCGATTTTGCAGGTTTTCCTACTTACAAAGCATGTAGAGGTCTGTAATTTTTATCATAGGTACACTTCAACTGTGAGAGACGGAATCTAAAACAAAAATCCAGAAAATCACATTGTATGATTTTTAAGTAATTAATTTGCATTTTATTGCATGACATAAGTATTTGATCACCTACCAGCCAGTAAGAATTCCGGCTCTCACAGACCTGTTAGTTTTTCTTTAAGAAGCCCTCCTGTTCTCCACTCATTACCTGTATTAACTGCACCTGTTTGAACTCGTTACCTGTATAAAAGACACCTGTCCACACACTCAATCAAACAGACTCCAACCTCTCCACAATGGCCAAGACCAGAGCGCTGTGTAAGGACATCAGGGATAAAATTGTAGACCTGCACAAGGCTGGGATGGGCTACAGGACAATAGGCAAGCAGCATGGTGAGAAGGCAACAACTGTTGGTGCAATTATTAGAAAATGGAAGAAGTTCAAGATGACGGTCAATCACACTCGGTCTGGGGCTCCATGCAAGATCTCACCTCGTGGGGCATCAATGATCATGAGGAAGGTGAGGGATCAGCCCAGAACTACACAGCTTGACCTGGTCAATGACCTGAAGATAGCTGGGACCACATCTCAAAGAAAACCATTAGTAACACACTACGCCGTCATGGATTAAAATCCTGCAGCGCACGCAAGGTCCCCCTGCTCAAGCCAGCGCATGTCCAGGCCCGTCTGAAGTTTGCCAATGACCATCTGGATGATCCAGAGGAGGAATGGGAGAAGGTAATGTGGTCTGATGAGACAAAAATAGAGCTTTTTGGTCTAAACTCCACTCGCCGTGTTTGGAGGAAGAAGAAGGATGAGTACAACCCCAAGAACACCATCCCAACCGTGAAGCATGGAGGTGGAAACATCATTCTTTGGGGATGCTTTTCTGCAAAGGGGACAGGACGACTGCACCGTATTGAGGGGAGGATGGATGGGGCCATGTATCGCGAGATCTTGGCCAACAACCTCCTTCCCTCAGTAAGAGCATTGAAGATGGGTCGTGGCTGGGTCTTCCAGCATGACAACGACCCGAAACACACAGCCAGGGCAACTAAGGATTGGCTCCGTAAGAAGCATCTCAAGGTCCTGCAGTGGCCTAGCCAGTCTCCAGACCTGAACCCAATAGAAAATCTTTGGAGGGAGCTGAAAGTCCGTATTGCCCAGCGACAGCCCCGAAACCTGAAGGATCTGGAGAAGGTCTGTATGGAGGAGTGGGCCAAAATCCCTGCTGCAGTGTGTGCAAACCTGGTCAAGACCTACAGGAAACGTATGATCTCTGTAATTGCAAACAAAGGTTTCTGTACCAAATATTAAGTTCTGCTTTTCTGATGTATCAAATACTTATGTCATGCAATAAAATGCAAATTCATTACTTAAAAATCATACAATGTGATTTTCTGGATTTTTGTTTTAGATTCCGTCTCTCACCGTTGAAGTGTACCTATGATAAAAATTACAGACCTCTACATGTTTTGTAAGTAGGAAAACCTGGAAAATCGGCAGTGTATCAAATACTTGTTCTCCCCACTGTATATCATAACAACTGTAGCAGTGATGAATAAATACGTGTCCATTGGGGTGGAGGCAGAGTAAAGACTGTTGAGGGGGTGGGGGGGAGTGACCATAGGGGGAGCAGCATGACCATTGAGGGAGTGTGGGGACCAAGTGAAAGAAAAACAAAGAAAATGGTCTACCGTAACTGCGTCGAGAGGTCGCGTGTAGCCTGCACATAGCAAGCAATTACATTTATAGAAGCCAGGCAATTAGTCTAAGAATGTTTTCTATTGGGGACTTTATGTTGCGCAAATATGGTAGGCTGCTACCATTGTGATGATTGGTCTAATGTATGAATGAAGCCAGAGAGTTGATATGTCACACGTGCATATTTTGTATTTTTGCATCTCGGCTGATTTACCCTTCTCTTTCTCGGCATATCCTCTCACCAGTTGTGATATGTTGAGAAATTCTTGGGGAGGGTAGGCTATGGCCATCTTGTTTGAGTGCTGATCTGAATAGCCCGTAGGCCTACTTGCTGTTTGCAATGGCATGGTAGGAGAACCCATCGCACGCAGCACTTTGAATTTATGCCGACTTCGTGTAAGTAAATAGGCTACAACAGCACACACAATCACACTGAGGGTTGATGATTGGTCATGCAGATATCAGAGCAGAGAAGGCAGCAGAGAAGACAGATTTAGACATGACATATCATTTAACAGCTCCATTTCACGTCACGCTGCTCATATAAATCATTTATAATAATTTACTGGTTTCTCAACATTATTTCTCCCCTGAGACGAGAATGAGTTTGGGTGGGAAATCTTGTTAACCCGGTTCCCGCTATAAAACCCTATCTCTAACCTCCAGATGGAAAAAGATGTGGATATGGTGGCTCCTCCTCTGAAGCTAAGGGTGACGTACCCGTACCTGTCACCCAGAGAGAACGTCCTGCTTTACCTGACTGACGTCACCTCCTCACAGGTAAGGCCTCTCTCTCTCCCTACGGTACATGTACTGTACAATAGAGGTAGAGTTTATATCTGTACCCTGCACAGGGTTCTCTGCCAGTCAACAGATAATCACACTGTGAAGTCAACCAGACTGCAGAACTTTAGTGGTGTGGATCAACTTGATCCAATGTGATTGATTGACTGATGATTGATTGATTTATTGATGGATCTTGTCTGTCTCCCACAGGATGTGAGATGCCATGCCATGGATCTGATTAACCCTTTAAAGATCAACCACAACAATGTCCACACTCTCAACCTTAAAAAAGAGACCCTCAGTGACTTCCTGGTGGTGAGTCAACACTGTGTGTGTGTGTGTGTGTGTGTGTGTGTGTGTGCACGTGCGCGTGTGTGTGTGTGTCTCACAGTGTGTATTCTCTCCTTGCAGGGCTGTAAGGACCACCCATGTAAGTCATTTGACTGCTCCATCCCTCACACCAACAACAGCCAGGTCAATGTTACCTTCAGGGTGTGGAAGCCCACCTTTATCAAAGTGAGTATAATGGAGTGATTGAATGGATCATTGAATGATTTTGTTTCTGACTGATTCTGATTCATTAATCTGATTCAATGATTTGCTGAGCAGGCAGAGTTCACCAGTCTTCATATGATAGTTCATGCCACTCTGGAGAACCAGAACACTGATCTCTTCATGTTGAGTACCGCTAATAACGCCAGAGATGTGAGTGCAATGACCTATTCATTTTCATGTGATTTTATGTGTTTGCTTGTTGTCCTTTGTTTGTTTTCTGGGTCATGTAACACTCTTGTTTCTATCTCAGGTGAAGATTCAGGTGTCTAAAGAGGCACTAGGAGGTATACCACTGTGGATCATTATAGTCAGTATCTTAATAGGACTTCTCATTCTAGCACTGGTCATCTTCGCCCTATGGAAGGTATGTGTGTGTTCACAACATTCTGTCTGCTTGTGTCAATTGGGAAGAGATAGAATAGCACAGGCTTGCATTATAGAGAGGTTCAACATGTGTGACCATGTGTGAAATACACTTTAAAATCTATATACTTAAACTCAAACTTGAGACTTAAATTCGGATGTGAATTATGTTGTATTCAATTTTTTCTTCTTTGCTCCATCTACCAGGCTGGATTTTTCAAAAGAAAATCCATGGAAGACATGGAGAAGGAGGACATTAAGAATTAACCCTTCCACCACCCTGTAGGTCTGTCTGTGCCCCACTATCTTCAGGTCTGTTATCTGGTCAGTCAGAGGAGATACCATAAGAAATACCACAACCCATTCACCTGAATGCCATCAGGTCAGAGGAAAAGCCAGAGTTTATCTATGGCTCTGCACCAACCCGTTCACCTGAAAGTGATGTGGCCCATCTATCTGAACAACATGGTCTACCAGTCTTAATAACAACCTGGTCTGGTTCAGTGGATAGAGAAGCCTGGGGAAACATTGAACTTGTACACTGTGGTCTTCCGTCTATCCAACTTGGGTACCAAGACCTGGACCTTAAGGACCTAAGCTAGAAGAGACATCAGAAGACCTATGGCATCCTGACCCAGAACTGATCATTTAAAGCCACAACCTCATCAGCTTTATACAACAGAACAAAACATTCTCAGGTTTACTTATAACATCCTAAAGCCCCTAAAAACACCTCAGACTATGGCATTAAACCAAAGTTGTCCAAGTCCATGTGAACTCTGGTGGGTTTGCACAGACAATCTGCGATGGGTTAGAATCCTGTGTCCTAGTTGTTTGATACTTTTAACGAAACACTGTCAATCCATGGTATATTTTAAAACATGTTATTACCTATATTTTGGCACATTCCTCATCTTTTAAGCAGAATGTTTGCTTTTGACACACTGACATTTTCAAAATGTTCTAGTCTTACAAGCGCAATCTGTAAGTTAGATTTTTCTATTGTTTAACAATTGAAAGGGGTCTATGCAAGTGTACCCACCAAAATATTATATTCCGTATATAAAAGAAGAGGAGGAACAGATGCTACTGACATAAATACATTTATTCATCTTGTTTTTGTTTCATCTTGTTGCCACATGGGGGAAGAGAACTTACAGATTGCGCCTTTACAGTATTAGGAAAACATTTGATTGTACTGTTAATGTAAGTAAATGTAAAGCTTGTACATAAAGTTGTTTGCAATAATTCCTAGAATTTAAGATAAAATTGACATAAATCCAGCATGTATCAATAAGGCCCTACACTCTTAGAAAAAAGGGTTCCAAAAGGGTTATTTGCGGAGGGATAGGGTTCTACCAAGAACCATTTTGATCAGAAGAACCCTTTTGGAAGACAAGGGTTATTTGTAAGGCAAAGGGTTCTACCTAGAACCTTTAACAACCCAATAACCGTTTTTGGAAGAAAGTTTTTTTTTATAATTTGGAAGGCAAGAAGGGTTGTATATAGAGCCATATATACAAGTTCCCAGCATGAAGGGAGATGTTTTTTATTTAATTTTTTACTGTAATATCTCTGTTTTTGCATGTACATTGATTGGCTAATACATTTCATGCTACACAAAGATAAATAACATACAGTTTTCTAAACTAATCCAATCTGTTGGATTTATTGCACCCGTTACTTAGATGGTTGTTCCAGTTTAGATGATTGAGGTAGTCTCAGTCTTCAATCTTCCCTACCCTGGCAGTCATTCTGAATACAGGTTGGGGCTGATTTAACAATTCCACTTGTTGGATATCCTAACTCTGGCTGGATTCCAATAGGAATTACACATCACTTTACAAGACAGCATAATGTGACTTGCAGGCCTGATGTGGCCTGTAAACCAGGAGATTCCTAACACCACTGTGTTAGTGTATAACTAGGCCCTCAAAGAAAGGCCTTATGATATATGTAATGTATTGTCATAAATAATTAGATTTTAAAGGCTAATAAGGCTGGTGGAACCATTCATAGAGGGTACTAGGAAGAACCCTCCAAAGATAAAAGTGTTCTTGGGAGAACTATTCATAGATGGTTCTAGGAAGAACCTTTAGATGATAAAATGGTTCTTGGTAGAACCCTTCAAAGAGGGTTCTAGTTAGAACCATATATACAGGGGGTTCTTTGCAAAGGGTTCTACCCAGCACCAAAAAGGGTTCCCCTATGGGGACAAACTGAAGAACCCTGTATGGTTCTACTTAGCACCTTTTTTTCTAAGAGTGTATATGTCAGTAATAGAGAGAAAATAACTAATTTGCTCCAACGTTTCTCAGGTGATACGTATGATAGTATGGTGATAGTATAATGAGTGTGTTTGTCATTAATAATATGGAGTATATGGAGCTTCGACATAATCTGAATTAGATAAAACAAACAAACGTATAATGAAAATATGTCAATATTGGTCTTATATTTTGATCAAAATCGAAATGTCCAATAAATGTGTATTGGAACTAGATTCATTTTGCGTCCATCCGCTAAGATTTTAGTTTTTTGACTAATCTTTCTTTCTTTTCTGTCTTTAATTTTTTGGGAAATTGATTTGTGAGGTAGCCTACGGTCGCATACAGTAATCCAGAAAGCCTCTCAAAATAGATTCCTGATGTCTTAATCTGACAGTAGCACAGAACAAAAATAAGTTTGTCATGAAGAAGGTCAAGCTCTGGAAACTAGACGATTGACGGTCACATACTGGGGGTGATTTGACAGTCTATGAATCCCAAAAAGAGCCACTTCCTAAAATAGAGACAAGTAACAAGACAAAGTAAGAGGGCTTGCGATGCATATCACCAGCAGCTTATGCCCAAGGCCTGTAGTCTCTGTTATGGATGGACCGGTAGGTTTGAAATCACCCTCACCATGTGACACTTGATATTAATGCACCTCCGCTTATTCTCCTGAATCTATCTGCATTTTGTTTCCATATTTTGCACACATTGTATTGTATATAAGATACACTCATCAGTTCACTCTTCACTTTTGAAAGCACATGTAATAAATAACAAATGTCTGTAAAATGTGTAAAATAATGTTAACACAGCGATCCTCCATCTTGTCCCCTTCTGGAGAGCTTATTTGTCACAGCTCAGCAGCGATAGATTCAGTTGATCAAGGTGTTGAAGATTTGATTATGGATGAGTTGAATCAGTACCCGTACTCGGAACCCAGAACCAAATTTGTGTGTGCTGACCAGCTTCTCGATTTGACATTTAATAACATTTATGTTGACAGTCTGTCTCAAGAGATTGTTGTATCAGGTGTGACGGCACTAAGGTTGGAAAACAACCTGCATCACTTTGACTCTCCAGGACCAGGGTTGAGGAGCACTGATCTATCGTCTCAGTCCACTTTGACTGAGGGAGGAGGGGGCTGAGACTGCATCTGACTGATATGCTCCAGTCATATACACTGCTGTGAAATGTCCACTTAATGCACTGGTTTGTCATACTGTATGTACTCTCATTAGCACAGATTTGAAAGCATTTTGAAAGCATTGCACATGCTGTCAAGGATCTTATGCCAAAAAAAATAAAGCCTTGTTTTTTAATGTTGGACATAGGACTGAATTAGTATCATGGTAAGCTGCTACGTGCCTGCGTTCGTGTGTATGTTTGCGTGCGTGCGTGAGTTATTGTTGTATGCTAAAAAGATAACGCTTTCTCTCTGAAGTGCAGGCAGCAAGCCAGCTAGTTTGCTGCAGACAGGTTGCTCATGCGTTTGGGATTACTGTACACATCAGTTAATCCTTTCAGCTGGAACTTGTTCACAGTCAGTGGGCAGTCTGGGCAATGCAGGCATACTGACCCCATTACACACACAGGAAGGCCTTCATGGTTTCAGACTGAAAGAAAAGAGGCAAGGCAGCTTCCATTATGATTCTGCCTGTGTGCTCTCGGTGTTTGTGTCTTATAAAGAACAATAACTGAGAACAGACAGCCAGGCAGGGAGACAGACAGATAGATAGATAGACAGACGAACACCCACAGTTTGTTGATGTTTTCATCCTCCAGGAATTCATGATAATATTATTGTGAAACCTGCCACTTTACTGTAAATGCGGAGAACTGTGGTTCTGTTTAACTTATCTCAGACTCAGGGGTCAGGTATATAACAGCACATGGGTATCATTTGGGGATCTGTGGTGTGAGACAGAGACAAAGGTAGAGAGACAGAGAGATGTAGAACCCTGACTACTGCTCTGCCTCAGGGCTCCCGTAGTACTGTTAACTATGTCTCTCATCCTCTTTTGATGTAAAGGGGGGGTGACCAACAGTTTGTCAATGAGTAATATCTTAAACACATTGTAAACAACATCTGTATTATCTCAGAAGGGTAGCTCCGAGGGTACGGTGTCAGTCACTGTCCTAAGATCAAACGTATGGGTCAAAATGTTACTATAGTGCGGCTGGTATTGTCACTCGGTATGTCTGTTGCTGTAGGGGATTGTAACAAACACACCCTGATACTCAGGTCCAAACAGGTTTGGAGAAAAATGTTCAAATTTACTACCTGACCGAATAGTTGGAGACTTTTTGAGAGCTTGAGGATTGTGTATAATCTTTCAGGGCGGTAACTATGAAGGACTGGGGTCAGGGGTGGGGTGGGCTTGGGTAACAAATACTCCAAGAGTCACCTGTCAAACTTCTGTACCGTATTATCTGGAAACATATAGCCTGCAGACATAATGTAAATCCTAAATCAGACAAGTTACTGCATCATGATGATGACTCATTGGTGAATGTCCATATCTGTATTGAAATACAGAAATCGGTGCACCACTAAGCGCTTGAATTGTAGCATGTAGTGCATTACTAAGTTTCAAGTTTTATTGTCATGTGCACAAGTACAGTGAAATGCCTTTTATGCAAGCTCTTTCCCAACAATGCAGTAATCAATATCAGTATTACTATATAGTAGTACCCCCCACCGGAAATAGAAATAAGAAAAACATGAGAAAGTAAATAAACTACATACCGGGGATATACCGGGTCAGTTCCAGGGTCAGTGCCAATACCATATTTACAATGTGCAGGGATACTGGAGTGGTAGGGGTAGATATGTATAGGAGTAAGGTGACTAGGTATCAGGATATATGATAAACAGAGTAGCAGCAGTGTATATGATTGTGTGTGTGTGTGTGTGTGTGTGTGTGTGTGTGTGTGTGTGTGTGTGTGTGTGTGTGTGTGTGTGTGTGTGTGTGTGTGTGTGTGTGTGTGTGTGTG